ATGCATGTATATTAGGAAGAGCAAAGAGTTTAAAACTGGGTATGGCCCGAGGCCAATCCATTCGTACAAGGACCAGATGAAACTTAAAGCACCCACAAGACATCAGGTAGTCCCATGAACAAGGTACTATACCGTTATTTTAGAACTACTATATTTGCATTCTTTATGATTTGAAAGAACTGAGTCGCCTCCTTAAGTAAAAATACTTTGGGTTAATTACAAGTACATAAAATAGTTGCACATGGTGAATGGAATGTATGTACCAATATGTTTAGTCTGCCTTTATAGAGGAGAGGCGGTTAGTCACTTCAAACACGAATCCCGTGTTTAAATAATGCAGAGATCCTTCTGTAGAGTAATATCAGACCGTCGCCTTATCCGAACACATAGCTCCTTCTATTCTATAAAGGAAACCTATGAAACCCTCTCAAGTCAATTCTCCTAGTAATTTAGAGCTTTGGGAGCCTAAGGGTAGACTTAGAATCCATACAATTAGTACTAATCATCTGCTTACCGTACTTATGCTTCAGCAAGCGGATTTCGCCAAGTAGCACTGTTTAAACTGATATGCAAAGGCCTAAGCCCTTGTACTATCCTATTTGTCACTGTTATTTGTTTAAATCACTGGTATATATAAACATGTGAGATTTAAGTTGAAAATTGAACAGAGCTACGTTTGCACATAGAGCTAAAGATATTTACATAAATGTATGCAAAGCTTTGAGGTCAATACACGGATTGGATACCATTTTTGTTATAGCCTGTTTGGTTACGCCCTGACAGGATGTACGACGCGTACGTCTTCGAAGAAGATAAGCTGTAAGCACTATGTTTTCGCTGATTTTCGCCTAAAGTTCTCCTGGAATTTTATTCGCATTTTCTCCACGGCTTATGACTTAATACACAAATCCACGCATCAACTAGCGACTATCTTTGATTTTCTTGTTTTCGTAGTGGCATGATTGTGACGAGTGGTTCAGTGACTCTAAACAAGGATCCTCAAAATTTGGTTGGAATTAGCATCGGTGGGGGTGCTCCCTACTGCCCATGTCTTTATGTCGTCCAGGTGTTCGACAATACCCCGGCCTCTCGCGATGGAACTATTCAAGCCGGAGATGAAATTACTGGTGTTGGCGGAGTTCGTGTTAAGGGTAAAGGCAAAGTTGAAGTGGCTCGCCTCATTCAAAGCTTCCCAGTGAGTTACCAAATGCACATTTATGTCAATTCTGCCCCACAGCATTTTTGATGATGTTGGCGTTAGCATAGGTACTAACGAATTCGAAAATCTTTCAGGAATCGGTTACCATATATTTCAACAAGCTCCACGCTGATCCGAAACAAGGCAAAACGCTGGATATTGGTAATTTAATAAATTCATTGTCAGTCAGTTCTTTATTTCCATCAAAGTAACCAATGTCAACTCTAGTTTTGAAGAAACTGAAGCACAAAATGGTGGAGAACATGGAGGCCAGCACGGCCGACGCTTTGGGTCTGAGCAGGGCTATTCTTGTCAATGGTATGTTTAGAATGTCGTCAGGTGTTCATGTTACTTTCTCTGCTACGCTCATTTTACATCTTTTGCATTTATAGACAGCCTAGTGAAGAAAATGGATGAGTTAAATCGCACAGCTTTGATGTTTAGTGGTCTGGTTCAGCATACGCGCTCTCTCGTTCGAGCCATCTTCCAGTTGTCCAAAGTGCATAGAAGTGAGTTGGGGAATCAGGAGTCCTTTTGTTATTTTTCTGCTTTGATGCTCCTTTGGCTTGTTTTTTCGGCATATATTAATCTTTTAGGTGTCCATTCATACACCCATCCATCTCCACACTCGTCTCTCCATCCGTCTGCTTGATCATTAATTCATATCTGATGCGCCTATCTTCGCTTTGATTTCGATTTTTTCTTGCATTTCTTATGTTCTTGCATTGTTCAGCATTTGGCGAAATAATGTCCCAAATTGGAGTTAAGGAGCCACAAGTTCGTGCAGGTCAGGCCTTTACTCACTTTGGAGAGGCTCATCGAGAATTGGAGAAATTCGCTGTTGGTACACTCAAGCAATTGCAGCCGGTGTGTTTTCTTCATGTTTTACTGGGGCTTGGCTAATATGGATGTCCTTTATATCTAGTCACGTAACATTCATCCAAATGTAATCACAAGTAGTATCGTGTACCATATGTTTTAAGCTACTCATGTTTAATTGAACCCGTAAAACTTACAGTTATTGCGATGGCAGTTGGCTAGACATCAATGCCCACTTTAAGGCTATTATGGAGTGTAGTTTGTCATTTGCTTTCTTCCTATCGGTTAAGGATTTCATCGAAAGAGCTACCAAGACTTCACTGACCCTGCTTCCATGCAAAAGCATTGGAATAGCCGGTCCTGACACTACAGTGCAAATTCTATTTCAGTTTTCAACTTGGCACCAGATTTCCATTGTGTAAGCAATTTTTCTGACAGGAGAAAAGGTCGAGACTTTGGCTTCACATCTGATATCGTTTTCTTGGCCTTATTGAAGAAGGTAATGCTTCGATAAAGAACGAATCAGAACTAATGTACCTGTCAACTAGGGGCTTATTTAGGCTTGCTTATCCGGAATGCTATCTTTTTACTTCATCTCGGGCATTTGCGCATCCACGAGCTGTTTAGAAACCACTACTATTCCCAGATTTGTATTTTACAAGTGCACATTTTCTGAGTACAGTAGTTGCCAATTTCGTACCTTTGTGTAATGAGTCAATGTAGGATATGCAAAGATGATGGGTTGGGTTCAACGTATCGATACTAATACAGA